CAAAAATATTATATATATTTTATTATGTAATTAGGTATGTGTTTATATACATATTAATATACAGTCTTGTAAAGTATTTGAGTAAATGTATTTAAATACTTTTATTGTATTTAGAATACTTTTTAAATACTTTTTGAATAAAGTATTTGGAAAGTATTTTAAATACGGTTTTGGACGTATTTGTATTTGAAAATCAAATACTTTTATTTAAATACTTTATCGATTTTTTTTCAATAATAAATGATTATTTATTATCTTTTTTCCCAGAAATCAAAGTAATATCATGACTAAATAATATAGTCATGAGTAATATCATTGAAATTTTGTAAGTTTATTCCCGACATAGCCTCCTAAAATGCAAAATATTATTGTTTTTTTTTTTAATTGAAGCCTATATTAGTTTATTGTGATGTGAATTATTTGAAACTCCAAACTGTAAACATAGAACAATAATGAAGCGAAACTCGATCAGCTGATTCGGTTTACGACTTTACGTTTACCTATGATCTATGAAGTCTGAATCTAAAACGAGCCCATAAACCAACATGATGTTAGATCCACGAACGGCATGCGAAAAGACGAAACTGTCAGAGAAAACGAAAAAATTCGGCAAAAAAGTCCGGCCGGGAACGTATTTTGCGTAGGTGCTGTGCTGTCCAAAAAAAGAGGCAAAATGAACGATGACAATTTTGAAAAGATTATGATTTTAAAATCCAATAAAGACTTTTGGTATTAATTTTTGTTTTTATTTTTATTTTTTTTTTCCTGTTGAGTAATTGAATAGTATACATACGTAATATATACATTAATACAAATATTTTCACTACAGAAATATAGCATTTATATATAAATTATTTTCTCCAGAAGCTAGGTTTGTTGTGGAGATAAAGGTTCTTATAATATCTATTTAGTTCTCATACAATAAATAATTAAAACGATCATTCGGTGATTATGAACTTATCATACAATTATAGGTACCTTGGTTAGTACCAGAATATGAAACATGCATTATAATATATGAACTATTAAGTATTAACTATATAATAATAATTAATAATATGTACAGTTTGAACGAGTTTGATCTCATGGTCAAATTTAAAGTTAAAATATCAGAGAAAAAGTATTGAACCCAAAGGTAAAACTTAAAACAAATGTATTAAAATAAGTATTTGTGTTTAAATACTTTCTAAGTATTTGTATTTGTTCTTAAATACTTTCTAAGTATTTGTATTTGTTCTTAAATACTTACTGAAAAAAGTACTTTAAATACTATTTAAATACTTATTGAAAAAAGTACTTTAAATACTATTTAAATACTTTTTAAGTTGATGTATTTGTATCTCTATTTAAATACAAATTAAAAGTATCTTTTTACAAGATTGTTAATATATTATATTTTACTGCGTGTCTGCGAAAATCGGGTACACTCATTGAACTCATTTACCTTTATTACTCAGTACCCTAAACATATTTTAGTATTCCGTCTGCGGGAGATTCATATGACACAATGTCTAGTTTTATGTCCCATAAACAGAATTCAAAAATATATAGGGTGGTACTGAGTAATTTGGGTCATTTAAATATACAGTGTACACATTGATGCTAATCGAATATATTACTATAGTAAAATATATAATAGATTTATTTTAATATATATCACCTAATAAAATATGTGTATTCCACTAACAGAAATAACTTAATTTATATTCTTATCCAATTATTGTTTTAATTTCTATGTTTCTATTGAGTAAACTATTGTAGGGTATCTATCAATTTTATTCATTTGAACTTATTGTTCCTATTATAATTGTTATTTTTAAGTAAAATGTTTAATCAGTTTATAAATATTTCTTAAAATAAAATAAATTTTAAATTGTTCCGCCAGGAGCGTCTAAAAATATACATTTTCCTAAATTGAATTTGATACTATTTAAAGTTTGTTCCTCAGTCAAAGAGGGTTCATTTTGCAAAACAATTTCCTGTAAAACATTTAAATCATAGCTTGTTTCTTTTAAATATTCTTTATTTTCTTAAAGTCCACCAGATCTTGTAGGAGTTGGCAAACCATATTCTTTTAAGTTATTTCCACCTAGATTCAAAACAAAGTCTTCAATTAATACCAAACACTTATTATAAAGTTCACTGTCTGTTATATTATTTTCTAGATGTTGTCTATAATATTATCGCCGAATATCGTCTGAAAAATCGTCCTTATACTTAGTCCAAAGACTTGAAGCATCTGAGGGATGGCAATATATTAATATCACACTGAAAAGTTCTCGCACTTTATTAGGTGAACGACGTAATGCTGCTTCTTCTAAAGCAAAATCCCACTGATTGTCATCTTCTAATAATCCAACTGCTTTACATGTGGCCTGGAATGTCGGTATGTGTTTCTCGATATTTTTCACAGTCTTCAAAAATTAATTAATAAATAAAAAAAGTACCGTTGCTATATTATAATATTGTAAATAGGATATAATTGTAATAATATTTTTTTTTTATTAAAATATATAATGGCGTATTTATGGTAGGGGGCATGGGGCACAACCTATGTTTATATTTTAATAATTATTATACTATAGACTATAGTAGATACCTACAGATGAGTAGAACATTAATATAATAATATAATATATACTTTATTGTACAGCTATATTATTATTACTATTTTAGCTATTATAATTTCAGGCAGATACATTTTTTTAGATTCTGAACGGAGTGATCAAATTTATACGAAATATGTTAAAATCGCGAAAATTTAAAGTTATTTTGTAGTTGAAAATTCATAAAATTTTAAGTATATATATCTAAGGTTTGAAAATTACAATAGTAAGAATTTAAAAATTCACGAAAGATTTTCTATCAAACAGTTTTAAATATAAAATTCTGAAAAATTCATCAAGGTTTCAGTCCCTGCTTTATATATTAATATTTAAAAAATATACCAAACCTTATAAAATTCACCAACAAATTTTATAAAATTACAAGACTGTTTGTTGTATATTTATTGTTAATAATGATAATAATAATAAGTACATTATTAATCTATACATGATGCAATACTATTATCAGTAAGCCAAACTTGAAGGTATTGTTTCCAGGTTTAGTAGACAACGGTTGTATTGCCATGGTAATTCTCCATCAACTGATACAAAATAGTTCATAAATTCTTTTCTAACATCTTTTGCGCTAAAATGTTTTGGTCCATTTCTATTTAACCTCAATAAACTACTGGTAGGCATCCCAGCTGCAATTTTTTCGCGCTTCGAAACCATTTTTACATAAACTCAAATGAGAACAATAGGCACCAAAACGTTTACAAACTCAAAAAATAAAGTAAAAGTTAAAAAGTTAACAAGTACTCCGCACTTTAACGATTATAATACACAGCATGTTGGTATATTTTACATTAACTTACATTAACTGTCTTTACATTAACTTCAGGCATCATATGAACAAACGTGAATTTTCTGTCAGTACAGTGGCGTACACTTCTGTTTTTATACAAATGTTTTTGTGTCACGACAACAACTGTCACAACATCTATGTCTCTAATGAGAGTGGTTGTGAAAGATATTTCATACAGTAGAAATTTCTTTCATGAAAAAAATGTCATCGTGTGAATGAGGCTTTAGGTTTGTTATACCATACACTTACTTTTATATACTTGTATTTTTTGCATGTATCTTTTGTTGTTAATTTAATTTTCACATCAATTCCAGCTTGACATTCTGTATTTTTTGACTTTTTTCTCTTGTTGCTTTTATTATTTACTTTATTAAAACCACTATGATGATACACATAAACTTTTCTAAGATTAAAGTATTTACAAATTGTAAATTGTATTTTATGTTTCAATAACAATTATAACAAAAATATGCACATACTATATACAACACAAACTGACTAAAAACTACTTAAAATGTTTCAAAAATAAGTAAGTCTATAATTGACACAATTATTGCCTCAAACATCAAAACGATACCTATCAGATTATAAACGTTAGTGATTTTTTAGAAGATACAATGGATGAAATTTGTTGATACATTTGAGTTGCATTACTAGGTATAGTCTATAATTATTATACAAAAAGCTTTAATACTGCTGTGATATTTTTAAATAGAAACAACATAAAATAAAAAAATGAAACTGATTATTTATGTTGTAAGTATGTTAACTGTAAAAGTAGATACTCAGTCGCTAATTGTGAACAACGTGACCCAGCTATGTATAAATAGTCAAGCGCATAACTCACCTAAAAACATATTTGGAACTATCATTATTAGAGGCCTTAGTATTTATACTAGTGTTGGGAACAATCCGGATTCATGAAATTCGAAATCCGTAATTCGGATTCGGAGAAAAATCGATTTCGAATTGAATTAATATTTTTTTATGGATTCCATATATTAAAGTCTTGATAAATACACATTTTTTTTTTGTTATGAATTAATATATTTATAGGAAAAATTTTAAAGCAAAAATATAACAACAACAATAACATTTATCAATATCGCAATAACATGTAGATATTACGACCTAAACTTTATACATGAAATTAGTAACACGCATTTATAAGTATCAAAATAATTTATCTAAAAAGACACGATGAATAATACCTAAATATACTTTGTTTAATTAACAGAAAAGTAAAAGTAATAATAAAAATATATACTTAATTACAAAATAATAATTTAAGTTTGAAATAATAATTATAAATAATTAAATAATAATAATTTATAATAGTAACAATGAAAATAATACTTCTATGGTTATAATAATAATATTTTAAAAAATATAAAATAATAATAAGTTGTTAATTATGCATTAATACTTGTTTTTCAAAAATACCAATGCTGACAAATGATACGGCGTCATCCGTTTTCTCTTGGGTGTAGTTATATTACCTACCTGCTGTAGAAAATACATGTTCGGACGATGCTGATGAAGCAGGAATGCATAAGATATTTTTTGCCAAAACTGATATTTTAGGATACTTATACAGTTTCCCGTGCTTTCCACCATAAACATGGTTTCTCGTTATTATTTATTTGAGTCTCTGACAAATAACGAGTAAATTCGTCCTCATCATCATCAGAGAATTGGCCCATTAGCTCCTCTAATATAGTTTTTTTTGCAATTTGAGTATTGCCACATACAGTTGTCGAATTGTGATTTACACGGCTACGGCGATTCTGGTGCTGTGGTTGCGGTAAGCCGGTCGTTGATGCGTTGATGGAGTGTGGATGAGGGTGAAGCTCAAAAGTAGCACAATAACAACGCGTATGATATGCACGGTAGTGTCCGTGTGGATGTTTATTTAAGAACGCCATGAGTACAAACACTCGTAACGGCGTAAACAGTGTCGTAAATTTATTAGTGAATAATGTACACAAATTATTTATGCTCGAGTCTGTGGCCGTCGTTCGGATATAGTCAAAACGGGGGCGACGTTAAGTTCGGTGTCGAGAACGGAACGGGGTGTGTATCGAAGAACGGTCGAATTGCAAGGAGCGTGAGCCTCCGGCGGCCGGTAGTCCGTAATTGTCCCATTCCGTCCGTACTCGTCTTGCGCGACTTGGCTTCCCGTCCCGCCTTGTGCCTTTGTGTCGTAGTAGGAGAGTTGGCGATGTCGCGCTCGTAGCCCGTGGTGGCGGTTAACAAAAGCGTAGACCGGTCGCTGCGGTACCTGTATTTTGTACTGGTTGCCGCTGCGTACCGTGTCAAACATAGAGTAAAGACAGGGGTAGCCGGGTAGGACACTACTCGGCGTCGGGCTGAAAAAAAAGTATCAACCACTCCAGGTCCGCAGTAGGGGCAAGTATCTGAGAAAATATGAAATTTTAACGTTTTCATTTTTGATAGCACTGAATTTGCTATGATATCACGTTTTATTGTTATCTCAATTACATTAACGTATTTTTTTTGTTTGTCTTTTGAGTTTTTGAGTCATTTGACTAGTGAGTAGTGACGAACTGACTACTACATTGTTATATTCTGTGCAACTACGCGTCTACACTACTACTTGTTATATTCTGTGCAACAACTGGTGCTGAAAATTGTGCTATTATTGTAATATTCTGTGCTTATACCGAGCATTTATTTTGTATTTTTTTGCGATTTATATTTATATAATAATCATGGTGTATGTATGCCTTGTGAATGGTTGTATAAATTCGTATAAGTACACTGAGAAGAAGTGTAAACTGTTTAAGTTCCCTAATGATGAATTTATGTAAGTAGAACGTTAGCTATTACTAATAATTAATGCGTATCAATATTTGTATCTAATTATTACTACCATTTTAGGTCGAAACAATGATTGATAAATTGTAGTCGAGAAGATTTAATTGGAAAATCATTGATATACTTTAAGGTCTGTTCAGATCATTTCCTGGAGTGCATGTACAAAAACAGAGAAAAAAAAGTTCTACTGCCCCATGCTGTTCCTACTGATTTCAGTAATTACAATTTTACCAAATGGCTATTACCTATTGAATATTTTATCTTTTACTGAGAATTTTTTTATCTATATATATATATAGTTTATGATTAGCTATGATTCCTAAAGAAGATTCTTACAATTCTATGACATGTCTAGATACAAGTATTTCAGATCCAATATTTAATGCTTCAGTTTCTACAAGTACACCATTAAAACAAAAGGAGTATTTTTCTATTGCTTGTAAGTTTTTGTTTTTATGTTAATATTATGCTTTATTAATATTACATACTATTGAATTTGCCAATTTTACTAAGTCAAAATAAAATATAAATAATTTACTGTATGAAAACTAAAAATGATTTTAATTTGCATTTTTTCTAGGTTCAACATCTCAAAGTTCATCTCATTCGGCCGATCAATCAATTTCCTCATCTACACAAACATATGTTAACAACCGGAAGGAAACATCGAAAGTTGGATATCCTTTCTCATCTTTAAACTTTTTTTTTGTATGATGTTAATTTTTATAATCATCTGTATTTATATTATTTTCATTTTTCATGAATGAAACATTAGTTACTCAAAAATGTATATACTTTTTTTAATCTGTTATGTGTTTTAAGTTTTTACATAAGTTTTTTTCTGTAATTGTTATTGTTATTTGATCAAAAAATCAAAAAATAAATAAAGTATTGAAGTTACTAAAAAAATCATGTTTATTTTTTATTACCCTATAACTTTAAAAATAGTTATATATCAATGAAACGTCTATTAATTTAATACCTTTATTTAAATTAAGATAATAGTGGTCCAGTCTTTTAAAGTATTCGAATACATACAAGTATTTGGATGGTTGTAATAAAATACTTTTTGAAGTATTCTATATACTTTTTAATATAATATAAATTCCTTATATTTAAATACCACAAATTTTTAAAATCTATGATAAGTAGTAACATAATATAGGTACCTATAAATTTAAAAAAAAAATATTTGTATTTGTATTCAAATACTTAGTGAGTAGTCGTAGGATATTTTTATACTAGTATTTTAAAAGTATTTTTAATACTACTTTATTCCAATACTATAGTATTAGTGGTATCCTGATCACAGAATATAACAATATGTCCTGATGTTCGGTGAAGAGTGAACTTATTATTTTAAAGTAATTAAATTAAAATAGCACATTTTAAAGTATAAAAGTATGCCATATTTATTTTTTGTATATAAATGGTCAAACTGTTAACTGAATTGGCCCTACTGCGGATCTGCAGTGACTGACTCAAGCCTTCGTCCTATTCTGCCTGTATAAATTTTTATCAGTGTCCATTCTGATTGTTATATTCTGTGGTAAAGATAAGAATTCCATTCTAAAATCAACACTTTATAGTCGAATAGTCAATAGCTATAACAAAAATATTACAGTTATATTATGATGTATTTTAATATGTACCTACACACAATATTATCAATACGTTCTAAAAAAATTAATAATCCAAAAAAAAAGTAACGAGTAATTTAGTAAAAATTACTACAAAAAAGTAACTTAAATTACATATAAATTACTTACAATAAAATATAATTAAATCACCATCAAATTACTTAAAAAGTAATTTCATTACAGTAACTTAAGTTACTCCCCAACACTGCGGCTTATACCGTTGTTTTGCATTTATGAACGGATATTTCACGCACGTGTGAGTGTTTTGTAATTTTATCTTCTAGTAGTTATAATATAGTACTTTAGATTTATGATAAATCTCACAATCGGTATTTATTCGTAGCGATTATAATATAATATTATAGCTCGCTGTTTTCGAAACGATATCATACTATTATTACCCATTATTATTGTTAGGTACTTATATAATATAGGTAATCAATATTATTATTATTTATTCTATAACACAATGATGGTTGTTGTACACTTGCAGTAAGTAATAAAAGTATATAATAAGTAAGTAAATAAATAATATCAATATCTATTATATGCGTATATATAAATATATAATATACCTATACCTACAAATTTATGTTTTCGTTTTGGTCGTATTTAATTCAGATAGTATCTACATTTGAATTAGTACCTATATGGCTATATTATGTATTTGTTTCGGACACGATTCACAAATAAGCGGTGAAAAATTATTTTCGCAATTTTTTTTCTAAAATTAGGTAGGTAATACTGTAATAGAAATAATGTATACGAATTACAAATCTATAGAAACGTTCACACATTTAAGTATACAATTACCTGTATATACTAACCAGTGGCGTACTTGTGAAAATTTTTGTTTTTTTTTTGGAGGGGGAGGGGGGCAAATTATTAAATAGGTACCTCAATTTAAATAAAAAAGCAAAACCATATAAATATAAATTATGCTAAAAAAAAATTCCAGGGGGGCATGCCCCTGTTTCTCCCCTTCTTACAGCTACGCCACTTTATTCAATGCTAAATGTATTTATTTATTTTTACAAGTCTTTAATTTTAAGCAGCCACGGACGAAGAATGAAATGAGTTTACAATGATATGTGCTTGATTAATAATTTTTTATTTTTGTGTCTAAAGACAATTTTTCTAGAAAATGAAAAATGCTCCGATTTCAACTTCGAGGAAGATACTTTTAGAAAAGTGGATCTAGTTTGTATTTATATGCTCAACATTTTGGTGGAATCAGAATTTGCCTATCGTATTTACATTTTATGTTATTGTTAATAAACCACATAAATCTGAATTATAAAGTTATTTCAAACATTTGCATATTTGAGAAACTAAAAATTGATTTTTTTTTACTATTGGTTTTCATTCGATGAGTAATAACATAAATACGTTTTTGGTGAAATCAGAACTAACTTATATTTTTTAGTTTGGGAGAAATTGGTTTACACGTGGAGCTCCGCTAGTGTTTTCGGCGCAGAGCCAAAATTACGTACTGTCAACAAAGGCGACCCGAGGTACTTTTCCTATGTTAAATACCAGTTTAAAATGGCATTGAACGTGTTAAAAATAATAAGCAATAACAAATCAAAATGTACAGATTTAGATAATGTATATTATATTATATCAGTATCGTCGTCCTCAGAAACGTCCAAACCATCGTTGTTATATTTATTTGGATCGTATAAATTACCAGCTAAACGGAAAAATTCAATAATAGGGTCTAGATTTAGTATACGGCATTTTTTTAAAAACATAAATTCGGCCATGTAGCCGCCATAGAAATGTTTTTTCCTTGAGTATTGAGACAGCAAAGCTTTTGCATGTCTCCACATTCCTTCGACGGTGTTGGTGTGGGCGCCTGTATTTGGGTCTTTAAAGTTCACTGAATGATTAACTTTAAAATGTATGAAGCCTTCATCATTCAAACAGTCGTAACTCTGCAATATAGTTTTATATAAACAAAACGTGAAACCGAAAAATAGATTGATAAAGTACATACTTTCCAACAATCGCTTATTATCTGCGTTCCAGGCAGCACCCACTGTTTAATTATAGCTAGCAATGTTTCCTTATCCCACTTTTCGACGGGAATTAGAAAACACGCTCCATTATCTCTTTGTATACCACCAAATATCCACTGACCCTCAACTGCATGTCCTCTATGGTATTTGCGTTTTCCAAATTTGGACTCATCGATTTCAACCGTTTTACCCACTCCTCCTAATCGTTATATTAAAATATTCAGACACAGCAAATTATTACATTTTGAACTTTTAAACTTTTAAAGGTAATAATTACCAATTTTTTCATGATGTATTATCATGCCATCGAAAACTACTTGACGGTGAAAATACGCCAAATCTACGGAGGTATGTTGAGCAATTCCTAACTCCTCAGAAAGGAACAATAGAGATACACTTTTTATCCATAAATACGTAAAACTAACAATTGTGTACAATGATAAGTGGGACTTGTAGAAAAATGTATCTTTCCTTATGGATTGATAAACATCACATTTTACCTCTGGAAAATACAGTTTATTAAATAAAATTTATTTTTTAGGAGGCCAAAAGTAATAAAAAAAAAAACCTGATGGGGGGGGGGGGCATGGGTAAATTAATAGAACGATTACAATGTCAAACTGTTGGGAACTGAAAAACTGAATTTTCAAATAATAAAGTTTTAGAATTTACTTTTTTTCGACTTGAATTTGTGGAATATTCTCGACATCTCCATACATATTCGTCCAGACAATTTGCTCTCAAACATAATTTAAGATAATGCCCGTGATCACATTTTAGTGTATTGTTTTTGGCAATTAGTGTCCAAGACTGCAATTTTTCAAGCACTGCTATAGAAACATCCCCTTGACGTTTTCGATCAAAAAGCTCGTAAATATCAATAAAATTGAGAGGCATGTTTATAACAGTTCTTAGGTAATAGGTATAGTACAAAAGACACAAGTTCGACGCAAGTTCGCAACTACGACAACGACTGCGAAATAACTCGATAATATATATGTACCTATTATAAGTAATCTTATAGGTCTTCTTTTTTTAGTATTATTATTATTAGTTACAATCATGAAACTATTATAGCCCAACTTAATCATCATTACAGTAATAGGATATTATAAATAATATAAACATTAATTAAAACTGATATATTTAGTCAGTTAGAATCTAAAAATGGATCAGATAATTATAATGAGGAAATAATATTATGTAGTAAAAATGGATCAGATTATTATAATGAGGATATAGGTATTGGACGAAAGTAATTATGGAGAGATAGTGCCTTTGACGACGAGTGTATTTAGAACACAGACTTCTATACTACACTAGATAAGGAACTCTTATACAATTTACATTGTTACAAGTGAAGCTCAGCTGTGAACGGCCGCCATTTTGTCGGTTGGCAAAACATTTCATTTATTATACAAAATGTATTAGGAATAATATTTTTTTTTAACGGTCAAATAAAATAGTAAATGTAAAATGACTTATATAAAATATTATTTTTTTTTTGTAAACTAAATGTTTAAAAATAATAAAATACGATAATAAATCATAATATCATCTTATTTGTCATATGAAATACCATACAATTGCCAACCGACCTTGAAGCTTCAATTCATGACCGGAGTTCGCTATCTAGTAATATATAGAAATCTGTGATTTAGAATTGAAGAAAGAAATGTGATTAGTGGACTGATTAATGAATTTAGATAGGGCCGCATACTATAATTAAATTAAATCGTACAATTTCTGCAATGTTTGTGTAATAATGATCAAATATATTACCAATGTGGCGGTACCTTACTTAGGTATACTGCACACACCCGAACACATGATGAATCGTTGGATGTTCGATGCAAGTTTATATGTTTGTCATTGTGGATTACCTGTTTCAATACGTGACAAGCCAAATTCTTTTTTGGAAAATAGTACAACACAATTTGTTGTATGCCAAAAAAATTACACGGACCCCTCAAGATGTCGGTACTTTAAATACATGGCAGAAGATTACCACTTATGTAACTGTCATACACAGGCGTCATTGCGTGTCGCCAAATCAGGTATACATATAGGTAAACCATATTATACGTGTGCAAAATCATATTCTGACCCGAATAGATGCAGGTATTTTATGTTGTATCAAATAGAATATATTTATGAATATATATATATTTATGAATAAAATACATTTTACTTGTACATTTTGATTTTTTGTTGCTTATTATTTTAATCTATATCTTCCAAACCAAAAAATATAAGTTAGTTATGATTTAACCAAAAACGTATTAATATTATTACTCATCGAATGAAAAAAAATAGTAAAAAAATCAATTTTAAGTTTCTCAAATATGCAAATGTTTGAAATAACTTTATAATTCAGTTTTATGTGGTTTATTAACAATAACCTAAAAAGTAAGTACGATAGGCAAATTCTGATTCCACCAAAATGTTGAGCATATAAATACAAACATTTTTTAAAAAAAAAATTATAAAAACTTAAAATTTTGGTATTTTAAATTCAAAAACACGGTTTTTGAAAAAATTGAGCATTTTGAAGTTTTTTCGCCATAACTTCCAAAATAAGTTCGACCGGCTTTTTTTGAAAGTACCATAAAATTAGGCATGCAAAAACACATATTTTGAAAAAAATAATTCCAAAAAATCGCTTGGGAGCTAAACTGCATTTATGCCTAAATTTTTTTATTGAGTGCTATGAATCATTATTAATTGTTACTTTATATTATATTTAGTATTCATATTTTGTTTAGGAAATTTCAATTTAGTTCACCTCGCATCTGATGAACTATCACGGTATATCTGTGATAATCATTTTCTTGATGAAGATTATACAAATAATAAAAAAATTAAGATTGACTAGAAATGCAGTTCCTATAAAGTATAAAGACTTTGAACATTTACATATATCTACACCCACTAAAGCTTACCAAAAAATAGGTGTTCTAAGTCCAATAGCAATAGAAACTATTTCAAAAAATGGATCTCCTAGTGTATAGGTATATTCAAACACCAAATAAAAGTTCATCTGACTCAGATAATATTAGATCAACATCTTCAACTCCAGTTTTAACTCCAAAAACTAGACAATTTATTGAAGAATCTCACGAACCAACTGGCCTAAAACCTAAAATATTATTCTACAACAACAATGATAGTAAAATATCAAAACTAAAGCTTGCTCTTCAACTTAAAAAAAACAGATCCGTAACAAAAATGCCACTTTGTTAAAGTAAAAAAAAAATTTAAAATAATAATAATAATAATAATAAAAGTTTATTGCAACATCATAAATATACAAAGGTTAAATAGACTATAAATAAAAAGTTGCAACTCATCCTATAAGCAAATAAGCTTGAATGCGGATGAGTTGAGTTCTATTAAGGTATAATAAAAGTGCATAATGTAGGTAAACAAAAATAAAATTAAAATTACAAATTAATTATTCCAAAATACAAAAACAAAAAATCTAAGATAGAACACAAATAACATGATTTATATATTGATTAAAATTAATAAATGAAAAAATATTTATATTATATACTCGTAATAATAAAACACCTTTAATAATAGTGCTTTGATTATCAAAATTTGTTTTACTATAAGGAATATTTAAGTTGTTATTATTTTTTAGTCTTGTATGGTAATCATGCGATGGTTGATAATCTTTAATTAAGTTTTTAATTTTATACATATATAATAAAGTTTGACGTTCATATGATATCCTAAAAGGTTGAACATTAAGAATTGTAAATATTAAATTTGAAGGAAAAAATCTTGGTTTATTTAAAATAACTTTTATTAAAGATTTTATAGTTGTACATAATACATTAATATGACTGGAGTATGTACATCCCCAGACCAAAGAGCCATATAAATAAATTGATTGTGCTAAAGCTAAGAAAACAACCCTTAAGGTTTTTAGATCTAATATATTACGGAGTACCTATTTTAAATTTATAAAATAATTTTCTAATTGAATTATTAACAGAAAAAATATGGTCAGCAAATTTCAGTCTGTGGTCAAAATTAATACCTAAGTATTTAATATTATACACTCTCTCTAAAGGAACACAATTACAGGGTAAATTTAAATATTTACAATTATAGGAATGTATACATAATTCAGAAGAACTATAAGACGTACACATATAGTTAGAAATATTAAAGATAATATATTTAGATTTAGTTAAGTTCAATTGAAGATTATTATTGTCACACCAATTCTTAATTAAATCCAGACATATATTCGACTCTTGTATTAATTTATTATAATCTTTATTTTTTAAAAGTACGACGGTATCATCAGCATAGCACACAACATCAGCATTTAGGTTCAAGTTTAAGAGTCCATTAATATAAATGATAAACAATATTGGGCCAAGAACAGTACCTTGTGGCACCGAAAAACTATTGGTATTTATATCACTCAGGATTCCATCAATTCGAACTTGTTGAGGTCTATTTGAAATAAAAGATTTAATTAAGTTTAGGGCATTACCTCTTATGCCACAGAAATCAAGTTTTTTTGTTAATAACTCATGATTCACACTGTCAAACGCTTTTTTAAAGTCAAGAAAAATACCCAAAACTTTAAACTTTTTATCCAAATTATTATGAATGAAATGGGAAGTTTTAACTAATGGGTCAACTGTTGACATATTTGGACGAAAACCATATTGATTAGGTGAAAAAAATGAATGTTTATTCAGAAAAACCATAAGTCTTTTTTAATACATTTTTCAAAAATTTTAGAAATAGTTAAAGTTAATGCAATGGGTCTGTAGTTACTACATAATTTTTTGTCACCTGATTTAAAAAGAGGCAGAATAATAATGTTTTTATATGTAGAAGGGTATTTTCCAGAGACCATAGAAAAATTAAAAATAATAGATAAATGTATTGAAATTGTGTCAACAGTTTTTTTAAGAATAAAATTTGATAAGTCATTTGTAAAATAAGAAGTATTATCTGGTATTTGGCGAACGAAATTTGAAATTTCTATGGGGTATATCGGATCTAAAAAGATAGAATCATTTATATGGCAGTTTTGGTTCAGTTCATTCCAATTTAATTTATTATAATTACTAGTATTAATCTCATCAGAAATATTTTTTCCAACATTAATATAATAGTTATTTAATTCGTTTAATATTTCAGATTTGTTAGTTAAAGTAGTATTTGAAACAAAACTATTCAGACAGTTTATTGGAGGTTCTTTTTTCTTAGTACTATAAGAGACTTCATTTATTAATTTCCATGTTGTTTTCATATTGTTTTTAGCTAGAGA